AAAAAAAAAAAAAAAAAAAAAGAAAGAAAATGCACAACGAAATATAATAGAAGATCGCTATCGAATCCCGCAGGGAACATGGAATACACGAGCTGCCATAGAATGCAAACAGGGGGATAGTCCTTAGACTGCATCCTCCTGTGGAAAAAGAAGCAGGAATTCCACGCGAGAGGGGATCCCGTGTCAGGAAAGGTGAAAGACTTGGCGCGCGCATTTGCTAAACGTCTTGTCCCGTGTCACGGAGGTCGCGCGTCCAGCCATCGACTATAGGAAGTCGAGTTAGGCATCGCCACGCACTCCCGCGCATGTCCGCGGGCCGGCGCATGCGTCGTTAATCCTCGGATCGATCCTGCGCCGTGACGCGTTCGCGGCTCGTTTTCCCCGGACGCGGATCGAGCGATCGATCGATCAGGCCATCCAGCTCGGCGCCGATCGCTTCCAGGAAATCCTGCGCGACCTCCGTAACTCGCACGAACATTGAATTCGATTAAAATTAGACCACCGTTTAGGACGCGTTCCGGATGAATCGCTCATCGTTCTGGACAGTCAATCGAATCACGGGCTGCTGAATGTCAATGTCAATGGAACGTTGATTCGTCTAATTGCGGCTTGTTTCGGGCTGATGTTTAATTCCATGGGTCCATGCGGTTGGGTTCGTGCTTCTTTTTTGGTTTAAGGTGGTTGCTTTGAATATTAAATTCATTAGATTGATCTTATCATGAAATTTGTGGGTTTGGTTTAGTTCATTTTTATTGTTTTACTTTAATACTGGGACCCTCTAGTTAGTACCTCGATGGAGTCAGTTTCTTTTTTCTGTCACTAGAGTTATGTATGATGATACTGGTATAATCAAATGATCAAATCAATCTTACAATTTAAACTCAGTTGGACATTTGTGGGATTATATTAAATATCAATTGGGAAGTCAGATTTTTATTGTGGGTTTGGTTTAGTTCATTTTTATTGTTTTACTTTAATACTGGGACCCTCTAGTTAGTAACTCGATTGAGTCAGTTTCTTTTTTCGGTTATTAGAGTTCTGAATGATGATATTGGTGTAATCAAGTAATCAAATCAATCTTACAATTTAAATTCAGTTGGACATTTATGGGATGATATTAAATATCAATTTCTAAAGACACATTTTTATCGAATTTGGCACAAAAACATTTTTCAAGTTAGCGAAAATAGCAGTTGAATTTTGTTATAAAAGTTTACTCTGTTAAATATTTTTTTAATATTTATCACATATTTTTTATTTTGTTTTTTGAATACAAGTTCAAGTCTTTATAGAAGTATTTCAGGAAAACTCATTGTTTATTTATGTGTTTTAATCTGAAGGTTATTTTGTTTCTTAACTTTTGTCAGTAAGTGTATTTATATACCTCTATACTTTATCTTAATCTGCTATTTTCGCAGCATTGTATTATATTAGCCTATCTTTATACTGGAGAATCATTAAACTGTTATATCTATTTACGACATCCATCGGTACTCAAATTTCGAATTACGATAAACGGCTAAAATCAATTACAATTTTAGTATTTCCAATTACAGAGGATTAAAAATTCGTCAAGGAATATCTTCTTCAATTCTTCACCAATCCTTCCCTAAATTGACATCATCATTGATGTTACATTAAAATTCAGAAACTCAAATTTCGAGTCATAATAGAATCATAAAAGAGAATCACAATTTCAGAGAATTAAAAAATTCTTCAAACATCTCCAAACTTCCCCTAAATCACGCCATTGCTCTACCATATACCATAGTACTAAGTTAAAATACCGAATATTTTACTTCTGTGGCACTAGTTAAACCTACAAAACCTCTTTAAATTCTCACCCCGACACGAGCTGATAAGGGATGAAGAGGGTGAACAAAGCTGTCGAAGAGTTCCTATAAATTTATATTGTACTGCTAATATATATATTATTCTTCAACGAAAAATACTTTTTAATTACTTGATCCACTCGCAATTTTTCACGAAACCCAACCTTCTAAGCATCGCTATACCCTCTTCCCTTAAATTCTCACTCCGACATGACCTGGTAGAAAATAAAAGATGCAATTTTTCGCGAAACCCAACCTTCTAAGCATCGCTATACCCTCTTCCCTTAAATTCTCACTCCGACACGAGCTGATAAGGGATGAAGAGGGTGAACAAAGCTGTCGAAGAGTTCCTATAAATTTATATTGTACTGTTAATATATAAATTATTCTTCAACGAAAAATACTATTTAATTACTTGATCCACTCGGAAACACAAATTTATATTATTATATATTATTCTTCAACGAAAAATATTTTCTAATCACTAGATCCATACGGAATTTTTTGCGAAACCCAACCTTTTAAGCATCGCTATACCCTCTTCCCTTAAATTCTCACTCCGACATGACCTGGTAGAAAATAAAAGGAATGAACGGAGCTGTCAAAGAATTCGTACAAATTTATATTATATATTATTCTTCAACGAAAAATATTTTCTAATCACTACATCCACACGGAATTTTTCGCGAAACCTAACCTTCTAAGCATCGCTATACCCTCTTCCCTTAAATTCTCACTCCGACACTAGCTGATAGGAGATAAAAGGTGTAAACGCTGCTGTCAAAGAATTCGTAAAAATTTATACTATTATACGTTATTTTTCAACGAAAAATACTTTCTAATCACTAGATCCACTCGGAATTTTTCACGAAACCCAACCTTTTAAGCATCGCCGCACCCTCTCCCTTTAAATTCTCACCCCGTCGCGAGCTGGCAGCGAATGCATTCGCGGTCACCTCGTTGCAACGTCTTCTACACCATGGGCAAAACAGGCAGCGTAACCAGAGCACGTCACCGTCCTCCATTGTTCCCTCGAAATACATAATTCATCCGTGGCTCGCGACTTTTTCCACGGTTATCAATTTCTGCAACTGCACATCGCGTCTCCGTGCTCGTCCGCTCCGCGCCGATCACGATCTCAACCCTCGCCGCCGCTACGATTTCCTATAATTTCCCGTTTTTCAGCCGGCCGGCGAACCAGTTTAAGACGGTGCACGTACACGAGTTTGACAGACCGAGTTTTATCCGCGGCTGATACACTATTTCACGTGGCCTCGGCGTGCAATTACGCGCGATCGAGAAAAAGTCACGGTTATTACAGCCCTGTTCTTCTGGTAATTCGCTCTTTCCGCCTGCCAGGGAATGCCCTTTCGCAAGCGCGCAAATATCCACCGTTTCTTCGTCGCCTCCGGCTCGCGATGATATTTCACTGGAAGACGCCGCGCCGACGAAAGAAGCGGAAAAGTAGCGGATGAAATTGCATTACCCGCAGGGACGCGCGCCGTGTGTGAAAAGTGCCTTTGTCTTCTTTTTCCGACGCGTTTTCACCGCTTCTTTCTGCCCTCTCAGCCGACGAGTTTACGTGCTGAGTAATTTGTAGCGGAACGAGGGAAAATTGACTTTCTTTCTGCTCTTTGCTCTCCATGTTGCGCGGATTCTTCGGCTTTGGTATTGTCTTCCAAACGTGGGACTGTAGAGTGAAAGCATGTTTTTGAACCTTTGGTTTGGTTTATAGGGGTCGCGAGGATTTTGTATCTTTTGTGGACGAGTTTTAAAATTACTTTTTATGACAGCTGTCAAAGTTGTGGGTGTTTGGGGGCCATTGACAGG